AAAAAGTTTAAAAGAAAACAAAAATTTTCAAAATACTACATGTTTATTAATTTGTAAACATTTTATTAAATATTATTCTATTGTAAATCAAATAAATAATTTATGTGAGGAAAAATCTGGAAGGAAAAGCAAATCTTTCATGAAATAATATGATTGATATTGGTAATATCAATGATTATCGGATAGGAAAAAGAAAAAAAGGTCATAGATTGAAGATCATAGATATATGATCATTCAGGCATTCCAAATATATGTCATCATTTAACTAATAAGAGAAATTAAAATTGAAAACATTAAAATGTTTGCAAATGTTGGAATAAATGTTGAAATTAAAAAAGAAGAAGGAGGAAGGAAAAAAAAAAAACATACTACTAACAGTATTCCGAAAATGAACAATCCGGATTGCAACACATTCACCCAAAAGGATACTTTTTGATGGTGTTAAAGCGGCAAGCTGTGAACCTGAGGTATAAATCTCAAGACGTGCTCGACCTGTCATATTTTCCTCAAATATTGCACCTTTGAATCGTTTCCATTTCTATAAAAATTTCCATTAAATATCATTGAAATTAAAAATTGGAAAAACGGAATAATTTATTAAAATTAAAATTATTACTATTAAAATTAATTAAAATAAATATATATAATAAATAAATTAAAATAAATATATATATAATAAAAATATATATATAATAAATAATAAATAATATAATAATAATAATAATAATAATAATAATAATAATAATAAAAATAAAAATAGTAAATAATAAATAATAATAATAAATAAATAAATAAATAAATGAGTAAATAAATAAATAAATAAATAACAAATAATAAAATAATAATAATAAATAATAACTAAACAAATAAATAGATAAAATAAATGAAATAAAATAAAAAAATTAATAAAATTAAAATTATTATTATTATTATAAAAAATTATTTAAAATTATTATTATTATTATAAAAATTATAAAAATTATTATTAAATTATTATTATTATTATTATTAAAATTAAAATTAAGAAAAAATAGTTTAATAAAGCATTTTTAGGAATTTTTCAAAATGTATTTTTATTTATTTCTCATTTTTATCAAGCAATAAATTAGCATGAAGCAGTAAACTTGTTTGCATATCATTTGCATACATATGGAATGCTCAACAAATGATCAAATCAGAAATCATTTATAAAAAGATGGAAAATGATAAATATGAAATGAAATTGTTATCATATTATTGAATTGCATCATAAATGAATTTCAAAAATAAAAATTTATATTTTTCCTCACCAAAATACACTTAGATGAAATTTGTATTTTTGCCGCTATGACAACTTTCTTCATTTAAAATTCAATTAAAATTAAAGAATTAATTAAAATTAAAGAATTTCATTCTTCCAATTTTTTTTTTTTTTCATCCTATCATCTTCCATCTCCGCTCACTTCCTGCTATCATTACCTCTTTTGAATTTAACTAATGAGAAAAAATAAAATAAAATTTGGATAACATATGGAAATAAAATTGCAACTTTAAATACGATTTACGTTAACATTTTGACCTCTTTTGTAAAAAAAAAAAAAAAAAAAGAAAAAAAGTAAAAAAAGAGAAGGAGAATGAGGAGAAAAAAAA